TGCTGCTGTTGCTGTTGCTGCTGTTGTTGCTGCTGTTGTTGTTGTTGCTGTTGTTGTTGTTGTTGCTGCTGCTGCTGCTGCTGCTGCTGCTGTTGGGAGTCTCTCTGATGATCGAGAGCTGACTCTCCTACTTGTGTGGAAGCAGCTACCTGCAGCATAACTTGGGGAGGTGGAATGTGAGGGTGCCAAGAAAGAGATGAGTGAGGTAGAACATTCTGATGATGGCTGTGACTTTGTAGGCCCATTACAGGAGGTGCATGCTGTTGATTGCCTTGATGCTTGCTCCTAATATGCCTGATGAGGTGAATTTTTTGTTTACTTTTATGAGGGCAATGTGGGCACTGAAATTGGCGCTCTTTACCACACTCTAGACGGACGTGTGATGAAAGATTTCCTTTGTACCGATAAACTTTGCCACAAGTTTCACAAGGGAAATGACCTGGACCATAACTCGAACCAGATGTGTTCATTGAGCCTGTTGCAGCATGTCCTTGATTAGACAAACCGACATGTTGACTTTGATGAAGAAAATCCTCAACTGCCATATTGCCATGATGAATTGTCCCAGAGGAAGTCGTAGACCATGAAATAACTTCCACTCCTGGAGAGGGTGAAGATACAGGTTCTTCCTTCATGGGATAATTGTACTCAATCGTCTTTGTAGATGGTGGCCACGGGGATGCAGATGAAGTAATTGCTGCAAGCAGAGAGCAATGTGTTAGTACAAAAAAGTGAAGAAAGCTCCCAAGAGGTGGAGTGTTTTAAAAATCAGTTGATATTGTGAAAACAAGCATAGTTGAAAGGTAATCCTGAAAGAAAATGTAACAAAAACTTTACATCCATAAATTTTATTAATTTTCTAGGGTAGATGTGGGTTAGCTAGCATTTTCCTAAAGGTCCATGGGTCAGATAATTTTACAACAGAAATTACTTTCTCTGAAAAGCAAGGGTGTAGTAAGCACAATGACCAGGAAGGATAACATAGACAAATACAAGTAACAGACTGAATAACAGGACTGACATAATTTTTTTAAATCCTAAAAGCACAGTGATGATGGTGCTTCTTTATTTGTTTAATTTCTTTTTATATTTTCAGTTGCTTTCATGAAAAAAGTTATCCAGCTCCTTACTGCTAACTACATCATAAATTTGGAAGATAAATATTGGTATAATACTGATATTGGAGGTATAGAATCAAACTGCTCTACTTTCTACATCTATTAAACACACATTTAACTATAATCGAAGGTGAAAGGTTCAAAGTAATATTTTGGTAAATCAAAAATCACAGATAAATAAATACAGTGGCACAAAATTTCTGTATGAATATGACATGTGCACTAATAAATTCAAGAACAAGCTATTTCAACGAAAAATCAGAAAAAAAAATCTTCGTCAACTGTAATAGTACTCCATGCAAAACGCCAGTTTTTAAAGAACAGCATAGAGGAGCCATGATGGAACCTTTACCGACTGCCCAACAAACAGTATACATGAAGTGAGGCATCCCTACTTGAATACATGTTTTGGCACTACTATATATGAAGCTATGTGAGAGCAAAAGGCTTTCATAGCAATAACATATTTTTATCTGCACTTCAAAACGTTAAAGGTGGGAATAACAGTATCCTAGAGTCAATGACCTAAACACAGAAAATAGATACTAAAAAATGGCACATTTATAAGGGTAACAATAACTTGCATGACACAAGCTCTAAAAACCAAAAGGTATTTTAGGTGAGAATTTTTTAAGTTAAGTTATTAGTAAAACATTTTTGAGTCAAATATAAACAAACTAGAATGTAATACTCTAGATATGGGGAAAATCACAATCAAAGAGAATTATCACAGAAAAAACATTACACAAATTCAAATAATATTTTTTTAAAACAATTTTACTTATACTACATATATTTTGTGTCTAGGTAATACTTTGTCCATTGTTTGGTTACAGCACCCTTTGAGATTCCCCCAGCTTCTTCTTGCACATGCAAGTTCTGACAATTAAAAAAAAAAAATTGTTTTTGTAAATTAATGTAAATTAAATTAGAGTATTTAAGATAGATTAATCTAAATTTGTTGAATATTTACAGAAATGAAGAGGCCTTTATCCACAAATATGAAAGGGCAAAAAGACAGGGTAGAGGAAATAGACAGACAGAAATGGGATACACCCCGTTGTAATTATGCCATGCTCTAGAATTAAATGCAAAACTTAAAAAAACCACAACAATATTCTGTGGTCTTTTGTTTTTCCCCAAAATTGTGTTCCTCTCTAAATTGTATCAAGGAAGCGGACAGGTAGATCGAGTGGAGCTTCCTGCTCTTTTTCAGGGGCAGAAGCAGATGTAACCAATGGATTTGGTACAATAGCTCCTTGATATGTGGTTGAGGTCTGTGATGTGGAAAATGTTGGTGCAAAGGAATAAGATGAGATTGATGGCGATGGTGCTGGCACAGCATAAGGAGCACTAGATAGAGGTTGAAGAGCTGGCACTGGTGGTAATATTGGCAAAGCTTGAGAGGTAGGAAGAGGAGGAGTCTTTGGTTTGGGAAGTCCGATTGCTGAATTTGGTAAATCTACAACATTTGAACTTAAATCAGGCCCCGATATATCCAGTGAAGGTGATGTAGAACCACCAGGAACACGATGGAAATTTATCCAATGCTTTTTAGCAGCTAACCAAGTTTGGAAGTAGTTGTCACATAAATTACATTTGAATTTTCCATGTGATAAAATTGATGAGTCGTCTATTTTCTTCTTTTCTTTAAAGCGACTTTTCTTTTCATTTTTTTTATCATGGGTGAAAATTGCAGAACGAACTGGTTTAACATCCTCAATTGTTGGTGCAAGTACTTCTGATTTGACAGCTGGTGATGCTGGAGACACTGGAAGTGTTTCTTTTGGGGAGGGTGCCTCTGTCTCTGTTGGCCCAGGTGTTGACACCCTCTTAGGTGTGGCAGCAGAGACAATCACATTTTCTTTAGGAGAGTTGCAAGGTGCTTTCAGTGGTGTTGTGAGCTTCATTTTAGATTTTTCTGAACACTCCTTCAGAGCTTTTCTAAACAGAGCACCACTTTTCTTAGATTTCATAAACATTTGTCGCTTTTTTGTCATGAGAAGTTTTGAATAAGGCGCCCTTGCTCTTTTCGTGCTGGGAGAAGAAATACCTGCTTTACTTTCACTAGGCACAGTTGCGACCTTTTTTAAATCTTCCAGTTTTGGAGATTTAGCACTGGCAATATCAGAGTCTGACAAACTACAGGGGTATGATGCGTGCTCCTGTTCAGACAGGAAAGAATCATCCGTCGAGCTGGCACGTACTCTTGGGACTTGAGAGCAAGGTGCGGTAGATGATGCAGCTTGAATCTTCTGAGTTTCACCCTTCCCTTTATTCGGGCACTGGGGATCAAACTTTATCACAGAGAGATCTTCACTCTTCGTGACAGTTTCCACTTTCCATTCAGCTCCAGAGTCAGTTTTTTTTGCCAATTTTAAGAGTAAAGGATTCTTTCCATGAGTCATATCAATTTCCTCAGTAGATTCATTTCTCTCAGTAGGATAAGATGTATGCTGCATTGACTGAGACCTCTTCCTCATCATTTTCTTCAGTTTTCTGAGTGACATATTTCCAAAATCTTCTGCTTTGTGCTCCTCGGAAAAATGCCTCTTAATACTGTCATCATCTTCGTCATCCATATAATCTTCAACTTCATCCGGTAATTCGAGATAACAAGTTGACTTACGTGGTCTAAAAGACCTAGTCTGTTGAGGATCATTTGAATGACGATCTACTTTGAAAGCTCCTCGTCTCTGACGCCCACCACCTCTACCTCTCCTTCCTCGACTACCTCGCCCTCGTATAGCAGTATTCCTCCTAGTAGGGACAATATCGACACAAGACTGCAAGTCCTCAAGTTCCCCAAAATGTACCTGAGTAGATTCATTGGTCAAGCTCGTGCTGACCTGAATAGCAGTATGCTTCTTTTTCTTCATGAAGTCCTTGTTACACTCCTCAACACTCTTTTCTCCAAAACTGTACAGGGATGTGCATTTGCCATGATTTAGATCTGTGCCTTCCTGAATGTCAGGTTCCTCATCAAACTTACAAAAGTTAGACCGTTGAGCAATAGCAGAAAACTCTTTGGAATTACTAGATACAACTCTCCACTCAGTACGCGACAAGCCTGTATGACTTACTAGTGTAGTGTTTATGAGTAAAGTAGGAGGAGTATTGCAACACTTAGAACAGGGTTGTTGACGGATATTTGGTCTTGTCTTCGAACCATCGTTGGGATTGGCAGTTACTGATAGATGGGGCAGGCTACCCAGAAGAGAGCGAATTGTAGCCCAGGTTGGAAGGTGAGAAGAAGAGGAGCCATCAGCACTGCTGTTGCCATCCAGTGCGCCAGCACCTCCTGAAACAAATTTAATGGGTGTTAAAAACAAACTAACACAAGAACTTAGTGACCATAAAAGTGTGTAAAGAATGTCACACAATTTATTTATCGTAATAAAAAAATATTTCCTCACTAAAATATGTAGTATTACTCAGAAGTATTGAAACTAGTTACAGAGATTCCTAAGCGAATCAATTCATGCAGAGGTAAGATTATGAAGCAAAATCATTAATATAATCTTTTTACTCAGGTAATGGGTAGAATTGTCAAAAAATAGCCCTTCTATATGGTACAATAAAATTCCATCATTTTGAGTGACTAAGTTTAATGATACTCGTAATAGATTGTTCTTTACAACACAACTAGTACACAAATTTAAATTGAAAAGAAAAGTAAAAGGACAAACCAGTTACATGCTGTCACAGGCACAGAATGTGAAGCAATTGGAATTGACACAAAATTAATTCTTGAAAAAGTAAATCCACAAAATATAGATAAAAATATATTAGTATTGCTTTAGCTAGAATTAGGGTGTTTATTGCTGATGTGTTTAAATAGACTGCCTTTTTGCTTGGATCGATGAGGACAGTGGGGACATTGAAACTGAGGCTCCTTTCCACACTCCAACCGTTGATGCAGGCTTAAACTTTGTTTCCATCTATAGACCTTTCCACATTGGTGGCAAGGATAAGTTTGAGGTCTGGAGGAAAAATTTTGTGAAGTGATAGACATTGGATGGGCATGGCCTTGTGTACTGAACTGCTGCATGAGATGAGGTTGAAGGAAATTGCTTGTTGAGGCCCATTGACCGGTAGCAAAGCCTGAAGAAAAAATAAAATCTGTGAGTTGACTAAATTTGTAACTATTAATATAAATTGTTGTCATAATT